AAAGGAACCCTTGAAAAAAAAAAAAAAAAAAAAAAAAAAAAAAATTGAGCCCCTACAAGAATCAATAGACAATGATTGTACAAATGATGTTATGTAAAAGTGAGAATAGGCAATAGAAAAAATAATAACAAGAGTACAATAATGATTGTGTCTGAAGGTCCGACGAGTGGATGTGGCGTCAAAATTGCAGTGGCAGATGAGATTGGCGGTGGCATAATGACAACCACTTAGCAGTAGTTTTAAAGCAAATTGGTAGGGGGGAAAAAACATAAATTTAGTTTCTAATTAATTTGATTAAGAAGTGAAGATTTGTAGTGGATGTGATCGTGTGTGGAGAAATTATAGACAAATTTTGAAGAATTAGAAGGGTTAGGATTTTGTAAAAACGATGAGGGAGAGCGTCTTGTGAGAGAGAGAAGGAAAAAAAGGCTCACATATGTTATGATTTAGTTAAAAAAAAAAAAAAATACTGATTAAATTTTGCCCAAAAGTTGGGGGATCACGTGACCTCCCATGCCTTACTTTGTGTCTATGACTCTATCGGTGTCTTGAAATGTTCGAGGAATATTGTTATTGGACGTACCGTCCTAATATAAGAGCATATTGTTCATAGTTTAGAATCAAACAAAGTAAAGCATTCCTTTTAAGTCTGTCTACAAGAAACAAACGGGCAGGATGAAAGGCAAAATTAGGGATCTTTAATCAATAACGAATAAGAAGCTTGAGGACGAGTTGTTACTTTTAGTGATTGGGATAATTGGAAAAAAATAATAATAATAATAAAATAAAACGGTAAAGCTAATCCCTTTTTGTTTGATGTAAATTAAAATCATATTTTTAGTAGATTTTGATAAAATTAATTAAATATATGTTTGAAAAATTATGAATTCTATAAAGTGTGTGATTAAAATTAAATGTTGATTTTGAAAATTTTTAATAGAGTTTAATCTATTTAATAGGTGCTAAGTAATGAAAGGGCTTCAATGGAAGTTGAGTAAACCTACTGATATTTTATCTTGAAGTAAATACGATATCAAAATTCCGAAAGAGTAAAGAATGAGCCCTCTACAAGAATCAGTAGATAATGATTGTACAAATGATGCTACGTAAAAGTGAGAATAGGCAATAGAAAAAATAATAACAAGAGTACACAAATTTATGTCGAAACCTTGGATGGGAAAAAAAATTACTTGCACAAGAAGAAAAATTCATTATATTAAAGATGAGCACAAGAGATGAGCATTTTGATAGCTGTCAAATTTTTCTATGAACTTTGAATGCAATTTAAGTCATTGTGACGGTGACTCGCTATCATATGACGTAAAATTGAAAACGTGTCATGTATATTCGGCTAATTAATAAATCTAATTTTTTAAGTCCCTTATCTGTCACTAAGTTGGGTTAGTAGAGGTAATTAATATTGTTATTAGCCAATGAAAGTTTTATTCAAACATGAAATAACCTACTTAAATGAGTTTAGTGGCAAGCACTTATATAAAATGATGTGAAGGGAAAAATTTTGATGAAAAAGTTGACTGTATTTTAAATTGACAAATGATATAATAATATGTGACATTATGTAATTCATTATATAAAATTTGATGTACATGTATGTAACAAAGTCTTTGGAAAGGAAAATTCTACTTGTACATAATTATTGCACATAATGGTGTCCATAATGTGATGTGACAATCATCCGATTATTGATGTGCAAGTGTGAAATTTGAATTAAATGTTAGATTCAGTGTCACGTGTTCATAATGTGATGTGACAATTATCCGGTTGTTGATGTACAAATGTGAAATTTGAATTAAATGTTAGATTAAGTGTCACGTGTAATTATAGACACTATTATGTAGACAATTATATACATGTAACACTTCTCCTTTGAAAAACCCCCTCACTCAATTTTTGTTACATTATCTGTATATAAATCATTATGTAACTCTATCATGTACAAGTAGCATTATTCATCCATTAAAAACCATTTCCAGTGAGCTTGCAACCAAAAGAGGAGTATTCTACGCCAGATGATTTGAAAATGGACAGTGCCATTTGTGCACTCATTTTTTAATATTATTGTTGACATTACAAGTATTGTCAACAATTGATCGGATGAAAAAATTGTCCAATAATATATTGTCACATGAAAAAGCGTAAAAGAAAGTATACAACATGATCTACACCAAACATGAAATAAGGAAATAGACACTTGAAAAATCGTTAACCAAGATCGTGTTTTCATTAGAGACGGCTGGACTGGGCTATAGCCCCCCCCCCCCCCCCCCCCCCCCCCCAAAAAAAAAAAAAAAAAAAAAAAAAAAAAAATATTTTTTTTTTTTTTTTTCATAGAACCACTATAGAAGAGAGACAGCATTATGGTGGGTGGGTGATTTTTTGCCATTTTTTATCACAATATGGGCCCACAAAACACACTCTTTCTGGTGCATTTCTATGAAGCACTCTTCTGTACAAATGGAATTGCTGAGTGCCAAATACCCTGTTGACAAATTTAAAAGAAAGAATTTGCACACATAACTATCCGACAGACGTGTTCCAACTGAGTTGAACGTTACCTGATCCTTCCAAGCATGCATTAATTATTTCCTAGGTAGAATTTATTTGCTACAAGCCTACAAAAAGCAGATATGTACAGTGCACCCGAGTGAAGCCAAGGCTTTTTCTATAAAAACCAACTTTGACACTGAATTTCTCTACAACATGGCAGATCCAAATCCCTTGCTCCTGCAAATAGACGAGCCAGAGTCTGAGTCGCCAAAAATCGTGAAACAACATCCGTCCTTAGATGACATGATTGAACGGTGCATCGGGAACTGCCCTTGGACGCTCTTCCAAGCTACCCTTGTATCCTTCGCCTGGTTTTTCGATGCACTGCAAACCTTCATCAGTGTTTTTACTGATGCTGTGCCAACATGGCACTGCACTTCACCCAGTAGTTCCTCGTGCAATAATATCTGCCAAATTCCAAGAGATTCTTGGAACTGGGATTTGCCTGTTCACACTTCCATTATCTCCGAATGGTCCCTGGAGTGTTCTGGTTCCATCATCACTGGCCTCCCGGCATCGTCCTTCTTTTTGGGCTGCCTAGCCGGTGGATTTGTTCTTGCAACCCTGGCGGACTCCTCTTTGGGCCGGAAGAACTTGCTTGTTCTGTCTTGTTTGATCATGTCTCTATCTGGAGTCTTAACCACACTCTCCATCAACGTATGGATGTATACCACTTTGAGATTTATCAGTGGATTTGGTAGGTCAACCATCGGTGCCTGTGCTCTTGTTTTGTCTACAGAACTGGTTGGGAAAAAATGGAGAGGAAATGTTGGGATCATAGGATTCATCTGTTTTACTCTAGGGTTTCTTTCTTTACCTGGTATTGCTTATCTGACAAGAGGTTCGTCATGGAGACTCCTGTACCTGTGGACTTCTGTTCCATCAGTATTTTACTCTGTATTATTGTATTTTCTAGTTCACGAATCTCCCCGATGGCTTTATATCAAGGGCTGGAAGGAAGAATTCGCCAGAACACTAAGAAGCATCGCTGCACCCGCAAATCGGAGCAGCTTAACTGACAGCTTCTTCTGCAGGTGGGTTGAGTGGGAAGAAGAATCTCAAGAAACAGACATGTACTCAGCAATAAAGATGTTGCTGCAAAAATCTTGGGCTTTCTGGCGATTGGCATCGGTTATGGTGGTTGGTTTTGGAGCTGGCATGATTTATTATGGCATGCCATTGGGCCTTGGCAACTTGGAATTTAATCTGTACTGGAGTGTCGCGCTAAATGCATTTCTAGAGCTTCCAGCCTCATTTCTCATGTTCTTTCTTACTGGGAAACTGGACAGGAAGATTTCAATACTGGTATTTGCTCTTTTGAGTGGAATTTGTAGTGTGACATGTGCGATGGTTAGGTGGAAAGGAATGCAGATTGGACTGGAGCTCGTGTCATTTTTTTGTGCAGTCACCGCATTCGATGTGGTTCTGATTTATACTTTGGAACTGTTTCCGACGTGCATAAGGAACTCAGCCGTGTCAATGGTGAGGCAGGCCGTAGTGCTTGGTGGGGTTTTTGGCCCCCTGCTGGCAGCTGCCGGAAGAAAGAATGGGTTTCTTTCATACAGTGTGTTCGGGTTAACGATAGCTGTGTGTGGTTTGTTCGTTATATTCCTACCGGAAACAAGGGGAAGGACATTCTGCGATTCCATAGACGAAGAGGAGCAGAAGAATGGAGCACTCAGTAACGGAGTAAATACTGCATAAGTCTATATTTTGTAGTTAGTCTATATTTTGTAGTTAATATGTACCGTTTTGTTAATTATACTGTACAATACAACTGTTTGCAAACATGCACTAAATTTTTTATCATTGCAACTTGAAATAAAGAATCGAAACAAACAGAACATTTGAATATCCTGGAACACCGGCTTAGCAATCGAAAGCCTGAAGACTTGAAGACCAAGGAAACTGGAGAATGGAGTAGCCAAATTGGACACGAAAAATTCACGATCCCAGGGTAATCAATTGATTAGGACTAAAGGTTTAAGTAATGCCTTGTGTAAAGTCATCTATCGTTTTCATGTATGCAATATGGCCATTTCAATTTACACCACAAGAATTGCCCGACGACTCGTTGCCTTCAGATGGAATGAATGAACCAGAAAATGATACTGGGTGGTCCAGTAGCTTATGTGGCACCACACAAAATAGCACTATGATCACACGATCCACCATACAAATATTTCTAAAATTTGTTTAGATAATACACTTTGTTATCACAATGGCCATGGCTGTAATGGAATTTATTCATGAATGGAAAAGATCTCTCCAGCTTCTTGTTTGCACATATAAAGAATCGTAGCAATCTTGAAAAAGAACAATGTGAAGGAAAGTTATTGCAAGCTTTAAGTTGCTACAGATATCATTCACCTTTGAAATACTTCTGAGGGGAAAAGGGTTCAAACTTGTCTTCTTGGAACGAAAATTATCACAAGCTTTAAGTTGCTCGAGATTTCATTTTGCTGATGCCCATAGAATTATGAAATATATCTCAGGGGAAAGGAATAGAACTCATCTTTTCTAGACCGACTACATGAAAATCCTCCTGCTGATCTTGCATGATGAGAAACGTAAATCACATCTTTAAGATAGAATCTGTTTTAGAAACCAAGAATACCATGCTTATTTAGAAGGCTGGGAAACCTCCAATACAAGCTTATCCATAAATTGGCATTTCTTGTCGAATCCCCAACCTGGGTTGCTCTGCAACGTTTGATTTTAGCAAAAATAAGGATAATGAGAAGAATTAAAAAGGCAAACACTTGAGAAGAGTGTAAAAAGACTTGAAAGTTCAACCCTTTGGCTCTAGGATTTAGCATCAAGTCTGCAGATTTATATGAACATAACATAAAACCAAACAGAATTTATTTATAAAAAATAAAAATAAAAAAAAGACGACCTAGGAGAGACGAATGAATATGCCAGGATCTTGATTACGAAAAAACATATTAATACCAGAGACAATCTTATGCATAAAGGAGGATGCAATGTTGACAGAGTTTCAAATTCATGATTCGCATGACTGATACGAAATAAGAAAAAGTTTTGTGAGGTTTTCACAAACACAAATGGTAAAAAGGAAAACTAAAAACTCTAGGGAAAATTGCTGCAGCGGTCCCTAACCTTTCACTATTTTTGTAGACTTTACCCTAACTTTCACTTTGTACCAGCCACAGTCCCAAACCTTTCAAAAAAATGCATCTGGGGTCCAAATGGATAGACCGTCTATTTGACCGTTAGTTGACTATAATGGTAAATTTTTACCAAATGTAATATTAAGGGCAAAATTGTAACTCTGCAATTTTCATTTAAATAAAATTGATTATAATAAGGAAGGGGTAGTTAAATAAATAAATAAATCAAAGACAAGGTTATCTTCTTCACCCCACCCCCACCCTTTAAACTATCGTCCTCTCCGTTACATCCCGCAAGAGAACACCTAGATCCCTGATGAAAACCCACAAACACTCGCCTCTAGTTCTTCAAATGCTCAGTTTTATTTTAATGTGAAAGTCGGGGCCAGATCTGGGGCTGATGTTCTGGTTCGATATGGAACCCGAATACAGCCCGCAAGAACATATTTTCTTGAATTATTTGATTATATGTTGTTAATCCAATTTGCCGGTCAAAATGTGATTGTGTTCTTACTGGAATTTTATTGGAAATGGGTCTAATTAGCGATAGAATGAAATGAATCTATGATACTTTAACTTCTGGATTGAAAACTGAAAGTTGAAAAAAAGTAGTTTCTTGTGTGATGGGATTGACAATGGTGGTATCGATGGTTTGTGGTGGGATTAACGGAGGCAAACTGTAAGGATTGACACACTAGCAGTATGTGTTTGAGGCAACAACGTTGGGTAGCATTGGGTGACATCGGTGTTGGGACGGTGGTGTTGGCTGTGACGATTTTCAGGGGTTGGGTTGGTTGGGGTGGTGTGGGGTTTGTAAAGGAGATTACGGTAGCCCTTTTTTCTTTTCTTTTCTTTTCTTTTTTTTTTATATTAAAATTGCAAAGTTACCATTTTACCCTTATTACATTTGATAAACTTTTACTATTGTAACCAACTAACGATCAAATGGATGGTTTCCATCCACTTGGACCCGTGTATATTTTTTAAAGGTTCGAGACTGTGGGAGGTACAAAGTGAAGGTTAGGATAAAGTCTACAAAAAAGTAAAAGATCAGGGACCGCTGCTACAATTTTCCCAAAACTCTATTGCTAACCCTTGTATCCACAACACATTCAGAAGCAGCGACATGCAAATGATATTTTATCATATTATTTGCTTGGTAAGATTGGATAAAAAAGGAACTTATTTGAAGTCCATAGTTCTGTGCAAACATTTTTTATGCTTGCAACCTATCTAGAACAGTAGAAATAACTTTTTGATTTAGGCCCCGTTTGATTCCTATTTTTCTCAAAATGCATTTTTCTCTCTTTTCTTTTCAACCACACATTCTTCATTAAAATAATATTACACGTAAATCAAAAACTTTTTATCCACACATTCTCCATCAATCTACTATTCTAAAATTCATTTTTCCTTAAAAATGGGTGTCAAACACCCTCTTAGTCTTTTACTTCAATTTTTTCCTATATGCTCAAGTAAATATTACTAAGGCCTATTTATTGTCAGTCCAAATAAAGATAGAAGTATTTTTCTCTTCTCCAGAAAACAATAAACTTCTAGTGCCATACAATACTCATATTTCCTATGTGGGGTGCCAACAGGCCCAACTTAAGAATTGCAATCAACCCTAAACCCAACAGATTGAAAATCATATTCTATGTGCCTATAATTTAGAGTGACTAGTTAAGATTCCACTTATAAGAATAAGAAAAGAAAAATAGAAAAATAAACCAGTTAAGAAATCAAAATGGTAAAAAATAATAACTAACCTGCAGAGAAAGGACGGCACGATTGACAAAATTCTTTACAGAAGCAGGTGTATTTTCTGGGATAGTCTTGGCAACCCTTTCTAGCTCTTGTTGCTGTTGCTTAGCAGTAACTCGATCAGGTCCACTATAGTAGTCTACAATTTTTTCCATAAGAGGAACATTTTTCATGGTTTCCGCAATGGCTTCCTATAAAGTGCAAAGTCAAGTCAACTACAAACAGTTAATCCGAGGAAGTTAAAAAGAAACATTTAAAGGCCCAAAATTAAGAGAACCGATAATTCCCATGTTAATAGAAAGCTGAAATTAGAAACTTAAGTAACCCTGCAAATGTAGGCTGCCTTTGGAAGTAGTAGTGGGCCCCAAGGAATGTGGTTAAAAAGTAGGCAAAAGTTGTGGATCCTATGGGATGTGTGGATAAAAAGTAGAGTTTTTGACAAACATGCATTAAATGTTTGTCAAAGAAAAGTTATAAAACACATTCATCCACATAGCTGGAAGAATATAAAATAAGATAAAGATAATGCAGAGAAAACAGCAAATAGAAAATGTTTGGCTAAGCTTAAAAAAGACTTTAAAAAAAAAAAAAAAAAAGGGATCGAATCTAGCTAAAAATCCAGTGGAGTATGTTACACACACTTCAACAAAAATGAGAAATTAAATGAGCACTCTGAATGTATATAAATACAGTTCTGTGCAGAAGCAGATTTCAAAATGGGAATGCAAAAATACAAAGTGAATGTAAAACGATAAAAATGAAAAAGGAGAAAATCAAGTTTGGGGCAGAAACTGCATAAGATATCCATTTTCTGTATTCCACGTACATCATTTTCAAATCCTATTCTCATTTATCATGTTTCTGGGTCTTAAAACTTGAAAACAGACCCTTATTATTTCCTTCTATTCTTTGGCGGGTGGGGGACTAAAAAAAATGGCCAAGAAAAGCCTAGGAAAAATTAAAAAAAATAACAAAACGTGAAAGATCCTTTGAAGAAAAGCTCCACTGTAGTGTGGAAAAGTGGCATGTAATAGCCCAAATTTTACAAGTAGCTCCGTAAGCAGATCACATATGGTCTCTTTCCTTTTACGTAGAAGAGAATTTTGAGAACAAAGTAAACAAGGAACACAATCAGTATACAACTGCCTTCCAGAATCATATAGACCAAAGAGAATGCAATGTACAGTAACTACATGCCACAACATGAAAAAAGAAGACAGAAGAAATCCAAGATGTAACACCACAAATAGGAAGAGAAGTTATCAGGATACATGAACTAGCATCTCAATGAAGCTTTATGATTTTTAATACGCCAATATCACTAATTAACTGCTAAAATAACATAGATAAAGCCTTAATATGTAGCCTCAAAACCAGAATTTCTAAAGGAAAATCCAAAAGAACTTGTACTCTCTGCAGTGCATTAGCGTGAAGAACAATCCATATACAACTGCCTTCCAGAATCATATAAGTCAAAGCTAAGATGTAATCTACTGTAACTACATGTCACGGCATGAAAAAGGAAGACAGAAGAAATCCAAAATGTAACACCACAATTATGAAGAGAAGTTATCAGGTTACATGAACTGGCATCTCAATGAAGCTTTATGGTTTCTACTACCTCAATATCACTAATTAACCGCTAAAATAACACAGATAGAGCCTATGCAGCCTCAAAACCAGAATTTCTAAAACGAAAATCCAAAAGAATTTTTATACTCTGCAGTGCATTAGTGTGAAGAATATCTAGATGACAGTTTGATATCAAAGATTGATTAGTTGCCCTCATTACTTTACAGCTATCGAAATTGTAACTGGCTGATAAAGCAAAAAATATGGCAATCACTACTTAATTTATAGCATCAATTTCCATATGATCAACAGAAAATTGGCATGAGTGAATCAAATATCATGTGCTTACAACTGTATCAAGTTAAGAAATAGGAGAAGTAAAACAACAAGAAAGGAATTTAAATTGTCTTTCCAAAATAAATTCAAGGTCCAGGAATTAAATCGAGGGACAGTGTAAGTAACAAAAAATGGGAGCAGATTGTAGCGGACTAGTGATATGCAATGGAAGAAGCATCAGCATACTAGTAAGTGAAAAGGAAAGACCTAAGACTGATGGTTAACAGTCAAGTTCAATAAATTTCTAGAACAACAATGGTAAACAGCATTAATAAAGCATCTATCAAACAGCAAACTAAAGAATGTAGTTATATTACTGAATTTCTTAATCTAATAAGAAATCATTTCAGGTATCAAAGTACATCCAATAAAGAGACTAGAGCAAAGCAGGAGACAAATATAGTAATACCACATTTCAACAGGACAAGAGCAAAATATATAGGTGTCTATACCTCCCACTCTTCTTGATTCTGAATCCCTTCGTATGTCATGAGGAATGGTTTCATTTTCTCAAGGGCATCCCTAAGAGAAATTGGAGGTTTCTCATCAATATCCGGATTTGTGCCAAACTCTTCCATCAGGTATTCTGGTTCACATTCAATCTGTATGCCAAATCCCAATGAAACAAACCAACTGAGCTAATCTTATTATAGTGCCAAGCCAACAATAGAAAATCTGAAAGTGCATTACCATTAAGTTAGTGTGAAGTGCATCCAAATAAGCATCATCCACAGGGGAAGGCAACACCCTGCTAGACATTTCCTCAAATCCTTCGACCAATTTATTCATGATTTCGGGGCCAAGCTTCTGAGCTAACTTCTCTCCTTCAGCAGGGTCACCGAGGTAAAGCCCCCCAGGCTCGTCATCAGAATCCTGATATCTATCTTGTCCTCTGCCACCTCTTCCACCAAATCTTCCTCTTCCTCGACTCCCACGCCAGCCTCTACCGCCCCTGAACCCGCCTCTCCCTCTTGCACCACCACCCTCCTCTCCCCTTGACAATATGCCCACTGCCTGCTTCACTTTCTCCTCTGTGCTCAATTTATCCCGTGGAGAGCTCTTATAGTTTGCCCCATCCTCAGCATTAACCCCACGAGGTTTGGACTGCTGTCGAGGACGAAGATGCCGATTTTCTGCAATGGACTTCTGAGTAGAAACCACGGGCGGTTTCATGGGTTTCCCACGGCCCGCCCCAGATAAAACATCAATAATGTCGGATGGAAGACTTCTCTCTTGTGCGTTTCCGGACCTAGTGGATACAGCTGATGTTTCATCATCGTGGGCGTCACCTCTGATGAACGAGAAGGGTTTTCCATCACTGGGTTTCACTGCAGACTGTTGTTGAGTGCGTTCAGGTTCTTGGGGCTGCGGCGGAGGTGGGGAGGTGTTTGTGGGCCCATAGCCGCGGCCGCGGCCGCGGCCACGAGAGACGGCATCATTGTTCACAAAGGAAGAGAATGAAGGGAGAATAGGCGAGGAAGGGATAAGTTTACCTCTGCCACGGCCATGGCCTTGCCCCGATAGAGATGGGTTTGTTGGGGATTCATCTTTGGAGTTCTCAGGTTCGGGACTTCCGATGCCGTCGTCGGTAAACTGGAATATGCTGGAGCCTCCCCGGCCTCTGCCGCCGCCTCCGCCGCCAGCCGATGAGGTGGAGAAAGCGGAGGAAATGAAGGAGGGAGAGGTGGTGGTGGCGCCAACACAGCCGCCAATCACAGGAAATGAGAATTTCCCTAAGCTGCTTCTCATTTTTGGGATTGAATTTACTGTGAGATGATCCGATACAAATTTTCACTAGCACTGGCAGTGGAACTAGGGTTGAATGCTCCCTATTTTTTCTATTTGTTATTATTTGAAATTTATTATTTCATTTATTTTAGTTCAGAAATTATAAATACATGTTGCTGAAAATTAATAAAAGTCTGGTGCATCCAATTAACTATATAATTATGAATTCAATAAAAAAAAATGTGGTTAGAGATATAAGCTTTTTAGTAAATACAAAAGAAATCCTAAATGAAATTTTTCTAAAAAGAATTTCGAGGTGAGAAATGAGAAAAAATTATCTAGATGATATTTTATCAAAAATTTCAAGAACTTGAACTTATACATTTATTGAAAAAGCATCTTTGACATTTAATCAAGTCATTTTATTTTGTTTTTAAGCTATCGAGACAGTTATCGCATATATTTGCCAAAGTTTATAATTATTCATAAGCTGGTCAAAATCTATTTTTTATCAAAACATTTTGTATAACTCATAATTTATATAAAACTTATCATTCGTACATTTCCACCCTGTTTGGCCCCCATTACCTGAAAATGGTAATGAGGGGAATAGTATTTTTTAGAAAAATGAGTGGTTGAAAAAGAAGGTAAAGTTTTCGATTTACGTGTAATATTATTTTATAGAAGATTGTATGGTTGAAAATAGGAGAGAGAAAAATGGAATGTAATGTAATTTAATTTAATGTTAATCAAACAAGGGCTTCGTAGGACTCAAACTTATAATCAATTATTAGCTTTAACAAATGGATTATGCTACTTGTATATAAAAATTGTACATAATGGATTATATAAGGTGTTGTGGAGAGAAAAGATTGAATGAAAAATTAACTGCATTTTAAATTAACAAATAATAAAATGACATGTGATTTTATGTAACTAATTATATAAAGTTTGATATATATATAGCAATGTCCCATACGAACATACACTTAATCAAGTAGGGTTAACAATGGGTTTAGGCCACCCATGAGTTCATTTGGGCTCGACACATGGGCAACCAAGCTTATGTGGCTATGGGCCATGAGCCGATTTGGGCTCAATTTTCTCAAGGCAAATCAAACTCGCTCATAGACTGACATGACACTGCTTGGCTCATGGACTTTTGGCAACACAAGTTAAATCAATTTAATTGGCCCTGCATTTGATTTAGAATATCCTGATTGGTCTATTTCATTGAAGATTAAGGCTACGAATCAACTTTTGATATGATGTGGGAAGCATTGGTTGCAAAAAATCGACCGTGGCCTGTTGGAAGAATCGGTTAACTGTTTGATAAATTTTTATTTTAGAACAAGTCATCATATTAACATTTTGTAAACAAAAATGGTTTATTATTGTGCATATACAACTATTGAAAATGGGCATTGATTATCACGATGTGCTTTTGCAATATTATCCTTGATAGCATTGTAAATTTATTTTCACTTTTATAACAATATGTAATATTATCATATATTTTTCAAAGACAAAGTTTTCACTATAATTATTCAAAAATAATTAATTAATATTTATTAAATCTCAAAATTTATACAGTTACACTATAAAAGCATGGTCTATGGTAGTTAAAAAGATATTCAAATAAATTTAAATGATGGAAGACTGCTTTTATTTTCAGATTTCATAATATCAATAAACCTGGTACAAAATGAAATTAATTAAGTTTAAAATTGAAATTTGAATCATAAATATTTTGGGAAGCTAAATAATGATTGATATATGAGGTTTGTTTAGTCAAAACGAATGCACTTGATTTTTGTGATTGTTTTGAATGTTGTATTGCCTTCATAATATACCCTTATTTTCCTCAGCATGTTGTTTTCTCTTTTCTTTGTTGTTCATAAACTTCCTTAAAATTGATTGTCTACTGTTGGCTATCGAACTTTTCGCCATCTACAGCGCAGATTCGGGGCTGCTTCACTTAGCAGCGCGACGCTTGTATTGCTCTCCCACAATCCCATTTTCACGATTTAGGCTACTCCCACTTTGCTCAGCGCTTACGCGACAGTTGGAACAAAGACACATTTGGCTGTGAATTTCAATGTGGCAGACATATACCTACACAGACCAATCAATAGCTCAAGTCACACACTCCCATAATCCATTTTCTCTTCGTATACAATCCCTTCGTCACCCCAAAATGAAAGGAGTGATCATGCAAACCTGTGTAGCAAGGGCAACTACAAAATCCACAACGAGATTGAGATCAGATCCCAAGAACGCCAATAAGCAGAGTTTTGGATTTAACTCAAAACTTATGAACCAAACAACCAACAAACAAGAATTTGCCTACCTCTTGATCACATGATTAATGAATCTCACACGGATTTGTGAATGCCACAAGAAAAGTGATTTCTTGATAAGTTCAGAGTGTTCAATAAAGAACAAGAAAAATGTGTGGGGGAGGGGGGGGGGAGGAAAGCCACTTGTATAGATTCTCTCAAGTATCAAAGTTGATTACAATGAAAAATATAATATCCTATTTATATTAAACCCTTAAAACTAATTTAAAACGGAAAATAACTCTTAAAAGATTGCAAAAGATCAATTAAAATAAAATTATAGTGTAATAAGATAACTCATTAAAAAAGGAAACTCTCGCCTCGAATTTACTCTATGCAGTCATATAGAAGCTACATTGGCCTCTAGTGAATTCTCTGCACTCCACCATGTTGTAGCATGGTTTGGGACACTGTGACCGCATAGTGTCCTTGTCGATTCCAACTTCAGTCGCTTGAACCAACTTCTTCCTAATTATTTCAGCCTTCAACCCCAACATCAAACTTGGATTTTGTCTTGTTAACTCCATAGCTCAAACAAGTAATTGGCCAGCTTTATTATTCATATTTGGTCTCGATCGTGCTGTTGGCCTCCCCTCAACATACTTGGAACACTTACTAGCTTGATGCCTTTTTCGGATCACATCATCCCCTTCTTTTTCAAAATGATTCATCCTCGAATCTAAACCTTTAAGATCACAATTGCCTCCATTGCTTTCAATCTTTGCAAAGCCATGGAATGGACCATCTCTTCTCGGATGTAACTTTGACCTTCTTCGCAAGCGAACATGCCCCTTTCACCTATGCATCCAAACCCAATCTCCTGGTTTGAATATCTTACACCTTTTCCATTTGCTACCTTGGGACGAACACAACTCAATTTCTTGCATTCCATCTGCTAGACCATTATCCAACCTATGTATGGGATTTTGGTACTCCGGAATGTCATGGTTGAATGATTCTTCTTCGATGCTCATGAAATTATCCAATAGTAATGCATCAATTGGATATTGAAATGGTGATATCCTTTTAAGAAAGTTTTCATGCAACAAATTTTCACATTCTTGCATCAAAGAAATATTTAAACTGGAAAGGGATTTGTTAGTCCTCACCAAATCACTCTCAGGCCCACTTTTCTTTGAAAACTCACTTGACATTTTTCTCTCTTCTCAGACTCTCTTTCTTTTCTCTCTTGTGGCTCTACTCCGTTTTTCTCCCATTTAGCAACCTCGCTATTTTCTCTCGAGCTCTCCTTTTGCCTCTCTTTGCTCTTTCTTTCTTTCTCACCTCTCAATTTCATTTGATCTTCATATACGTGTTGGGGTGTTAAAGTTACAAGAGTAATAGATTTCTCATCTTTGTCAAAGCTGTACCTATTTCTAAACACATCATGTTTTAACTTCCTATCATATTGCCACGGCTTACCCAATAAAATATGCCTAGCATGCATAGGAACAACATCACACAACACCTCATCTTTATATCGCCCAATTGAAAGGTTCACTATTGCCCTCTTATTCACCTTAACCTCTCCACAATCATCTAACCATTGCAATTTGTAAGGCTTAGGGTGTTTTGTTGTAATTAAACCTAACTTCTCAACAAGCACGGTACTAGCTATATTAATGCAACAAACTCCATCAAGTATTAAACTACATACCTTGTTCTCCACAAGGCATCTAGTATGAAAGATGTTCTCTCGCTACTCTTCTTCATTCTCCTTGATCTGCGTGTTGAGTGCACGCATTACCACAAGTGATTTCTCTTCTACTGCATGTTCTACCACTTTACCACTACAAGCATCCTCTAGTTCGGGCATCCCATCTCCATCTCCATCATTCACTACTTGCTCATTGGCACTAAAGATCATGGCTCGTTTATATGACACCGAGAAGTGATGTGCCCCGATCCCAAGCACTTAAAACATTTGATATCTCAACTCCAGGATGGTTGTGGTTCCGCTTTTGGTGTGACCTTGCTAGCAATTTCATCATTTTCCCTTGGTGGTTCGGTATTATTGTTTGAAACAGCTCCATCAATCCGACCATCATCTCACTTTGGTTTCCAAGATGAATTAGGCCCCGATTGATACCTTGCTGTCCCCTTTCGCTTCAACTGCCTCTCCACCTTCATGGACACATGTAGCATATCATCTAACTCCATATAATGCTGCAACTCCACCACATTAGTAATATCCCTATTCAAACCATTCAAAAACTGAGCCATAGAGGCTTCCCTATCCTCCTCCGCATTTGTCTTAATCATTAATATTTCAATCTCCTTGTGGTAGTCCTCCACACTCCTCGAGCCCAAGTACATAATTTGTAACTTTTGATGAAGTTCCCTATAATATTGACTAGGCACGAACCTCTTCCACATAATAGCTTTCAACTCATCCCAAAGTATTGATAGGTCTCTCCCGATTCCTCCACCTTGATGTCACCACTTGATTTCACCAAGTTGTTACATAATCAATGAACTTAAGGATTGCTATCTTTACTTTCTTCTCCTCCAAATAATTGTGGCAATCGAAGATCAATTCTACCTTCTTCTCCCATGCCTCCATCTACTTCGTCTCCATTATTATTTCTACCCGTATTTTAATCATATCGCATATATTCATCATTCTTCCTATTTCAACCTCCATTCATGCCTCCTCATCCAGATCACTACCATATCCATACTCATCGTGTATCTCCATCCTAGGTTTCTGTCTAACCTGTCTTCTTGCAATGGGTACTTTTACACGCTGCCCCCTGTGAAGATTATTAGCTGTAGTGTATA